AAACAAAAACTGTTGGAAATCACAGCGGGTCAGTTAGCACCCGTGAAGAGGAAGCAAGCTTACATTTCGAGTCTAGATGACTGTTCATCAGAGCTCTGCAGTAATTTCCTCCTGGGAATTTTCTCTGGTTTGAATCAGCAGTGAACTTCCAAACGAGCAATCAATGGGCCAGATTTTGGCCTTGTGCAGCCATGTAAAACAGAATGTAGCATGTGCTTGGCCTGTCGGCTCAGCTCGCTCAATATTTACCTGCACTGAAGTCAACAGGTGATCTCCCCATTCAATGAGGTGTGTGAAAATGGGCTGCTGACTCTCTGTCAGCCATTTAACACAAATTCATTGACTTGGAGACTGTAAGGACTGCAGATGCTGGAAGCCAGAGTCAATAGATGCGAAGCTGGAAAAGCACAGCAGGTCAGACGGCATCCGAGGAGCAGGGAAGCGTTGAAACATTGACTTTTCTGCTGCTCGGACCAGTTGTGCTTTTCCAGCTTCACATCTATTGACTGTAACACAAAGTCAGGACCATCCGCATGGAGTTCCAAACTGAATCTTAAATCAGCAATGACTGAAGGGACAGGGAGTTGGGGAGCAAAAGCAGCTGGGTGCCATAAATAGTGTGACCATATCCAGAACATGTTCCTGACTGATAGATGAGCTCACTGACCTTTGTACCGGTGCTGCTCGCAAATGATTTGCAGCTATCTGTGCGTCATAGATTCTCTGCATTCCAAAGTTAGGGCTTTATTCTCGCAAGGTTTTCTTTGCTCATGTTCCTTTATTCATTAATGGGATGAGGACATCGCTGGCTAGGCAGCATTTATTACCCATCCCTAGTTGCCCAGAGGGCAGTTCAGAGCCAACCGCATTGCTGTGAGTCTGCAGTCACATGTAGGCCAGACCAGGTAAGGATGGCTGTTTCCTTCAAAAAAGGACATTAGCGAACAAGATGGGTTTTTCCAACAATCGACAATAGATTCATGGTCGTCATTAGATTCTTAATTCCAGATATTTATATTGAATTCAAATTCCACCATGTGCTGTGGTGGGCTTCGAACCCGGGTTAATCCAGGCCCTTTGGTTGAGTTAAAAGCCACTACCATGAAGGCAGAGAATCTCAGTGTCAGGGCAACAACAACCCCAAAAGCAATAGAAAAGTCAATTTTCAACGCTGAGACTGCACCTGAGGCTGTGTGTTAGAATCATTCAGCATTAAGTCATCAAAGCTTGCTCTGGAAATGGCACATACGTACTATACAATGTCTTCAATAAACCCTTATGGCATTGTTGTAAATCTATACTGGAGTTCAGGTTGTACATAAAATCTTTTGAAATCCGACCCGCAAAATGCATATTTGGGTCGATTATATACATGCTGAATCGGTAGCATTGGAAACTGGACCCTGCTCGTGGTTTTGGTACTAAACTGTAAGTAGAAATTATGGAGGTCAGTGTAATGTTTCTGAGGACTTGACATTGAATCACCTCCACTATTCTGCATGCTACACCCACATTCCATACAATATGTAATGCCTACACTATTCTAGCTTCTGAGAGAAAGGGTTTGCTGTGTACAGCTGTCTTTTTAATGACCAGGGGTAGGTAAGCTAGCTCCGAAACATGCCGGTTTACTTTTTGGGTTTTGCCTCAGATGTAGCTAAAGCTGTGACTGTGTCCTTGATTCACAGGATGTGAAGCAAAAGGGTGGTAGATGTTTGGCACTCTCTTCCACAAGCAGCAGTGGATGCAGGATCAGTTGTTAATTTTATGTCTGAGACAGATAGATTTTCGTTGCGCAAATGTTCTGAGGGAGGTGAGCCAGAGGCAGGGAAATAGTGTGAGGCCACAGATCAGCCATGATCTCATTGAACGGTGGAACAGGCTAGAGGGGTTGAAAGGCTTACTCCTGTTTTTATATTCACGCTGCTATGCCCCATGTGAGCATCACTGGGGAGCCCAGGACTTAATGCCTGTTCTCGATTATCTTGAAGTAGGTAGTGGTAAAGATGAAGACAACTGAAGGTCTTATAAGGCCAATTTTGCTGACAATTAAGAGTCAACCAATGGGTTTGGAGTCACATATAAACTAGATAGTGTGAGAACTGCAAACTTCCTTCTGTAAAGGGCATAAGTGAACAAGATAGGTCTTTACAAGAATTCGTGATCAGTATGACTGAGTCCATCTTTATCTTCCAGGCTTGTGCGCTGATTAAATTTAAATTTCACACACTGCCATGTGTAAGTACGGTGAGGAAGAACGATGGAGCAGTGCTGGGGGGGAGTTACTCTGGCAGGAAGGAGCAGTGAGGAATCAGTGACAGGAATGAGTGAAACTCCTAAGCAGTTACCAAGCCCACATCTGTTAAATGTCTATAAAGGGATGACCTGTGATCTGTTTGACATCAGAGGCACTGGCAGGAATTTTAGTCCACTGGCAGTATTTACTTTGCCTCCATCCATCAGGAGGATTAAAGTGCATCACCTTCACCTGTCAATCAAGGGATTAACTCACATCTCTGAGAAATGCCACTGGGCAGTGAGACAGGACCCAACAAAGAATTTGCAGAAAATGAACACTTTAAAAGAAATTAAGCACGTTGAGACATTTCTTTTTGACCTGGGTATGTGGTGCTTCTTGCATTCATTAGATTTTTATCATAAACCTATATCTTGAATTTAGCATACGTGAAGCAGTTCACAGGCACAAAACATGGATGTGAAACATTGACTCCTCAAGATCCCAAAGTGATCACAAAAAAACAAATCCAGACTCGTTCATTATCCCGCAGGGAAAACCAGTAAAGCTGACAAATGGGACATGATGGTCCAACCCCTCTTACATATGTCAAATTGGTGGACCAGTGCGTTCATTTCCAGGTATTACTGATTGTTACTGGTTTTTCTCTGATGGGAGCATCGTTCTTTAAGGAAGGAACTCTGCCATCTTTCCCCTATGTGTAACTCTGGGTCCACAACAATGTGGTTAACTCTTCACTGTCCTCTGGAAATGGTCCATGTTAGGCATGGTGACTCAGTAGTTAGCATTGCTACCTCACAGCACCAGGGACCTCAGTTCGATTCCAACCTCGGGCGACCATCTGTGTGGACTTTGCGCATCTTCCCTGGGACTGTGCGGGTTTTCTGCCACAGTCCAAAGATGTGCAGGTTAGATGGTTTGGCCATGGAAAATTGCCCATAGTGTCCAGGGATGAGCAGGCTAGGTGGGTTGCCATAGGAAATGTCGGATTATGGCGATAACGTGGGGTGATGGGGTTTGGTTGGGATACTCTTCAGATGGTTGATGCAGACTCAATGAGCTGAATAGCCTCTTTCTGCACAGTAGAGATTCAGGCCAGTTAAGCATGGGCAACAAATATGAGCCTGGTCAATGACCTCAGCATCCGCAAGGAAAGAACAGCCCACGTAATTTTGAATGATACTCAAAATTCCCACTTGACCATGTGGGAACAGGCAACTCCGACCATCAGAAATCAAACTTCACCCAAGGGAGTTTCAGTACAGCAATCATCAGGCGACAAGGTACGTAAAATCAGTTCTCGTTCTGGAATCTCTCCTTGTGGTTGATTGCTACCCAGGGGTCACTTCCTGCAGTGCCTTCATTCCAGCCAGATTCCCACTGTCATAGTTAGCCCTTGTTCTGCAGCCCAGTTTTAAAAGTAAATTTCAAGCCCACAGACAAAATGAAAGAGGTTTTCTTGGTGAGGGTGGTGCTACACCTCACCTTTGGCCTAGAGCTTTGCGTATAATTGAACTCAGCCCCCTTTGTAAGCTTGAGGCCAGCTATTCTGATAACTCACCAGTCACAATGATTGAACATATGCCTGTACGCTACTGTCTTGTTAAGTGCGTGCTTGCAATGGACAAAAGAGAGTTCTTCCAGTAACTGGACTTGCAAAATAGTAGGGTGGGTTATATTAGAGGTAGTAGGAACTGCAGGTGCTGGAAAATCTGAGATAACAAGGTGTAGAGCTGGATGAACCCAGCAGGCCAAG